TTGACTTTTCAAACAGGTGTAATTGTTAGAAAGCTTTTCCTTATGTCAACCTCAAATCTGTCATTAATGTCTTCTCTTTAGTTTGAGTTTACTGCTCACATACACAGCACAAAAACGTTCTCCCATCTTACATCTGGCAACCTTTGATGAGAGCCACTCCGTTCCACTTTCACCATCCCTTCTCTGGGCTGAACCCAGGCCCCTGACTGTGATGTGTTCGGGTCCCTCCCACCTGGTGTCACGTGGTATAAGCAGGGCAGGGACTCTCTTGACGGCGACACTCTTTCAGTGAAAGGAGTCTAAGGGCACGTTGGTATTTGTGGCAGTCATGTTACACTAAGACTCACAGTGAACTTATGGTCAGTGAATAGCCTTTAAACTGGGCCAAATTTTCCCATCACTGTTTTTCTGCAATGGTCCTTAAAACAACTATACCAAAACCAACTTAGTCTATAGAGATTTATGTTTATCTCTTGTTAAATTTCATCTTACTGATTTGGGGCCTTTATGGAGCCAAAGATAGTTTTGGATCTCAAGTCTGTCATTTGATATATAGAATACATCTTCATCTCGGCCCACTGGCATGCTGATTAGGGCGGGGCTGGTGACAGACTCCTGTGAGACCCGCAGCTCCCTCCTCAGGGTGGTCCCCAATCCGTTCATCAACACTCTGGTGGCTCAAGTTCCTCATGCAGTGGACTGACTACGAATCTACTCAAATGTGTTTCTGTTTACAACCTCCAGCGCTCCATCTGTGGCACTGGCCTTATCTCCCAGTGTAGTTAGTGATCCTATCATAAAATGGGTTTATTTGGGGATTAAGGGTCCTGGGATTAAGGCAGAAGGAAATCCATTATCTGGTGAGCTCCATGTTGGCTTGAAGTGGAAACTAAGAAGAGCTGGAGCACAACCTATGGTCATCACTTGGGGGAAAACAAGATAATTTATTACTAGATTCGACCCATTTCATGAAAACGAGGGTCATTAGCTGCACATGCCATTTTGATGGGCAGCGAGGAACAGGCACAAACACCTCGACAGAGAGTCGCTAAAAGGAAATTTCTGACCAAGAGAAGCAGTAACCCTGAGAAACTGCTTTCTCCCAGACGGTATTAAGGAGTTTAGAAGCAAAACGTTTCTTGAACAGAAATTTTTATATCTCAAGAAAATTACTGTGTTTATTTCCGGAATCTAATAAAAACTAGTGATGTCAGTTATTTGTTGCCATAAAGACTTTAATTTTCCTAAGAAGGAGGTATCTGCATATACATTTTAAAAAGACCCTCCCAGCAAAACAACAGGCTGCTACTGATGATTTTTGCAGCCAAGGGTACAAGCTTGCCATCTAGTGGTGACTCATGTAAACTGAAAGCAGTTGATCTCAGACAATTTATGGGTTGTTGGTTTTTTTTTTAAAGCAAAAGGTTCCTTTTTGTCATAAACTATCATGGCACTCGCACCCACCCACCCACACACAAAATGGTTCCATGCACAAGTGCAGCTGGGGAAGCACTGTAATCTCTCCCCCTACTCAAGAGAGTTTTAGTCTGTGGCCAACGTAAGTCCTCAACGTAATAGATGAATTGAGAAATGACTAGGGCTTGTCACGGTGGGTCTGTCCTCTATTATGTGAAGTATCACCATTCACTCACTCTCTTATCTAATCCACCCTCTCATTCACCTGTCACTCATCCATACGATCACTTAGCACCAGGCCTGACGATTAAAGCAGAAAGAATCACGTAAAATCACTGGCATGATTAACTCTTTTAAGAAAAAAACCCTTAGTAACAATGCAATAATAAAATTATAAGAGCTATTCGTATTGGGTCAGTTCCCAGTTTTTGCCTAAAATGTAGCTGGAAACATCACTGTAAGTCAAATTTTCTCATTAAGATGCTCTGACTTGATCAAATACTCAGACTTGAATAAATCATCCATATGATTAATATAGATCCTTAAGGCCAAGCTACGATATTTGTATACTGTTCTATAAGAATTAAAAATCAAAAATTCTAAAAGTTCTGCGTATGCAATGATGCTATATAAAATGAAATCTATAGCTGAAATGTCTACATTTATAAATAATTCTTTGCTACTTATAATAAACATTAAACAATTAGCAAAAATGTATCAGCAGTCTAACAATTTAAGGGTTTTTTGAGGTCTCTTAATAAAACAGTAATGCAAAGTGTGCAGTAAGGCCTTTTTTATTTCTTTCAGTTTCCCGGAGTTAGAAAATGGATTGAAACTCTCTGCATTAAATTTATTATAGCATTTTTCCAAAAATAGTCTCTAGCTCTACATTCTGCCACAAGATGGCAAATCCATGCCTGGGAAGATAGTAACATTTTAAAAGCAATGTCAAAAAAGATGAAAAATGATTGTTACAACGTAACATTGTACTGTTAAACAGTTTTATTTTTAGGGATAATTTAATTTTTATTACAAATAAAAGGGGAATAAAAAAGAAGGGAACTAATAGTCCCACAGTATCTCTTTATCTTCATACAGTCCCCTTAAAGGAGGCTCAAAGAAGTTAAGTATCTTGTTCAAGGTCAGAAGACTAGACAATGGAAGAGTGAAGCCCTTGGTTTTGAACTTTTGTCCATCTGCTATAAATCCTGAGTATGTGATTTTGTGCTTCCCATGACAATTCTCTCTTATTTCCACATAAAGGTCAACAGAATATGACGTTAATAGAAGCCTCAAGTGCAATTAGTGATGTCATTCTAATTTTGTTAAAATTATTCTATTCCTCTACCTATTTTATCCTATAGTAGATTTATCCCTGCAAACATCACCACTCCTTACCACTCTCCTATAGAAAGAAATTACTATACTGGAGAAGCAGAATTACTTTAGTTTTTCATATATATATTTTAAACCTGCATTATGAATGACTGTAATGGTGTGTGTGTTTGTGTTTGTCTATATATATGTGTACACATATATATATGTGCATATATACATTTTTCACATTCTTAAATTAGAAAAGAAAGGAAAAAGGGAGAGAACTTTTTTTCTTTTTGGGTAATTTAAAGTAAACTATGTTCAAATGAGCACAGTACTTAAAAAGTATCCTGCAAATTGTCATTTTAGTAAAAGCACACTGCTATGTAACCATTTATGGCATTTATAGAAACAGTGCTCTGGTGAAAAGCAGGTTGAACAATGGGTACACAAAACTGAACTGCAAAAGCGGGAAGGAAAATGAAACTTTAATTTTCAATCACTGAATTTTTGGAGCTTAGAGAAATTTTTAAACAAAGGCTCAGTTGTAAGTCCGTTCCCATGAGACAATCCTACATATGTCAGGACACAGGAAGAATGAGTGCAGACAAGGCACTATGCAGAAAAGAATGTTTAGGCTACTGTGGAGATGTGGAATTTGAGGGGCAATTAAGTCAGAACTCCATCATTTGACCTCAACCACCTTCATTAGCCAGTAGCTACAAGATTACTAACTTAATTGCAATTAACTAATTGCTTGTGTATTTATTTCTTGAATGCCTACTTTTCCTACCTGAATGCCCCTCTGTGAAGGCATATGCCTCTCTGTTCCCTGGCACAGTCCATGGCACAGAGCAAGCACATAGAAAACCTCTCTCCCTAATTCACGGCTTTATGTAGTCTAGTGGTTAAAAGCTTGGGCTTTGGAGTAGGACATAGGTTGTGACCTTGGCCCTTCCACTTAAGAGCTGTGATTACCTCGAGGGGGTCTTTCAACTTCTAGGCACCCCGTTTCCTCACCTGTGAAATGGGACAGTAATAGACCTTACCCCGTATGGCTGTTGTGAGGATGGAATGAAATACCAAGAGTGAAGCCCTTAGCATGGGGTGAGCACAGGTGGTCTCCACAGAAGCAGGTCTTAACAGCCTTTATTGGTGGTGGGAGTTGGGCTGTGCATCTGCCGTTAAACTTGAGCGTTCATTCGGCTCACATGGGGAGCTGGCTGCAATGCAGATCTGCACCCTGTCACCAGTCACCAGATTCTGATTTGGTGGGGCTGCAGGGAAGCTCAGAAATTTACATTTTTAACAGGCATCTGGGAGTAATTCTGATGCAGGGCGTCTTTGGACCACCGTTGGAGAAACACTGCTTTAGAAAGAGAATCATCATTTCCCAGATTTCTGAAGAGATGGACAAACTAACAGTCACATAATACATGACTCTTGGGGTTGGATAATGAAAGTAAAAGAACTATCATCTCGGGTGGGGGTGAGAAACTGAATATATTTCATTAAAATTCCACCCTGAATAGCCAACAAAATTTATGATACTCCCACATTCACTAGTTATAGCTCCCCGATGCCCAGCCTCTGTCTCCTGAATTCTTTCAATACTGTCCCCTTAACAATGGGATTAGGAGAGCATCCTCCTTTGCTTGCATGGAGAACTCTCAGTGTTTCCCCAGAGATACAAAGTTCATGAAAAGCAAACCAAAGGGGCCTAAAGGGAGGACAAAATGTCTCTGATCTTTAAATCTGTCTTCATCATGGTTATTTTTATGCTGAGGGGCTGGTGTCTTGAAAACTCACAATGATTTATTCTCTTAGCTCTGAGATCAGATTATTAGGATGTAAATTGGGAGATTAAGACAAAGTCTAAAAAGGCTTCCATCTTTTTTTTTTTTCCAAGTAGAAGCTTTCTAACACAAAAGTGCTGTTGATAAATAATGTAAGTGTAAATACTCCTCATGACTGGCCTGGCCTGGCCCATGGTCTTAACCATAGCCCTAGACTTCTTGAGCTCTATTCCTGTCCCCCTGCCTCGGGTTTTTATTTGCTAATAAATTAAGTGCTCCTAACGGTACACTAACCCTGACAGATCAACTTAAAAGACTAGTTTCCAGCTAGTTACTGAAGGCCAGCTGGAAAACAGCCTTTACAGTCATTTTTGTTTTTAAGAAAATGGAAAAGAAAAAAAGAGAGAAATGCTCATATTCACTCATGAATGCTTGGAACTCAAGACATCCTGCAGTTGGAATCCCTCTTACCAGCAGATTCTCTGGTTTGATGTCACGGTGGACGATGTTGACGCTGTGCAGGTATTTGATGGCGCTGGCCAGGTTGTACAGCATCCCACTGGCGTCTCGCTCAGTGTATTTGTTAGTGGAAGTGATGGCATCGAAGAGGTCTCCTCCCTGAGACAGAACAGCAGGAGGAGAAGCACATTAACAGATGGTCCAATGGCGCTGCCTGGAGAGGCGCGTGACACGCTATAAAGGGAGTGAAGGATGCGTTCAGGGTCTCTGGGTTCCGAGGGCTTTTCCTGCCACCTCTCTCTCAAAGGCCCGGAGACCATAGTGATTTCTCTCCCCACTGTGAGAGCCAGTGACATTTCCTCCAGAGCTCAAAAGGATTCTCTGCCTTTAAACTCCCAGCCAGGGAGGGGAAGCGGAGCCAGGTCTCCAGGTCAGAGGCCTTGTGACACCTGGGAATCCTGGTGGCATGTGCTACCCACCTCACGCCAACCGCCAGCAGAAGGTCAAACTCATAATCCCAAATCTCCCAAAATGAGAAACAGGTAACACCGCAAACTGCACCCTTAACAAAATGCTCTGCTGCCTTGTGAAATTACCACCACACACACGCACACACACACACGCGCACACACACACACACGCACACACACACACTTCTCTTCGTTCTCTAGATTTAGGTCTCATGGAGTGGGCGTAGTGTTTTCTTTTTCAATAATGTGCTTCTTTGTAAGAACAGAGAAAAGGACCAGAAACTGTCACTCCAAAGATGAAAGAGAAAGAGAGGGAGGAGGGTGGAGAAATTTCAAAGAAAGTTTTCTAGTACCATTATTCATCTGAACTTCTGTTTCCATTGTTCCTGGCTAATTTACCGTTATTTGGTGAAACAAAGATTTTAGGCTCCAATTTTAGATTCATTTATTTGAAATGCTTTCAGCGAAGTTGGGTCTGATTTACTGACAATGTGTGCATCCTTCTTGCACACAAGGTCCCAAGGAGCCGAGCCCAGTGGCTGACTGTGTTCATCTGTTACCTAACGGGCTAAGAGATTTAATTTTTCTTTTTAAATAGCAAACGCAAAATAGAGCACTTGTAGGCTGACAATTTTCAAATCCTGACCTGGCCCTCTGTGACTCTGTATAATCTCTGCTCAGGGGAGGGGAGTGTCTCCCACTGACCCTTCAGCCGCAGCAGTTCCCAAGCTAAGCACATACATTTTGTTCCAAATGAACACTTTCCCTCTCAACATTCTGTCTCACGCAAAGGCAAGGCTGCTATGTGCCGGTTTGCAGTTGTTTCCATACCACCTCGGGAGGTGGGGTTTTCACTGTGGTTCGCGTGAACAGCACGCCGGACCCTGTATAGGGCCATATGGGGTGACCCTGCCAAGCCTCCACCATCGTCCTGGTTATCTAGGTTCCAGGCAGCCTGTAAACTCATTTCTTCTTCACCTTCTGCAAATCAGTCAACAGATATTACCAGTCCTCCCTTTAAGGCGTGCCTCTGACACAGCCTTCTAGGCCGTCCCCCAGCTCTTTACGCAAAGCACTGTGTGCACGGACTGTCACCTTCCCACTCGACGTTTCTTTCTCTTGTCATGAAATCAGCGTTCCTTTCCCACGGCTCTCCCCGCTCTGCCCCCAACCTTCGTTCCAACTTGCTTAACCTCATCTCCTGCCTCTATCTAGACCAGTTACATTAATGCTCCAGGTAGGGTATGTCTTCCCTGGTCACCCAAACAGGTCACACTCCCTCCTCACTCCATACCCGTCCTCAGTAGAGCCGCTTCCTGCAGTGTCCCTTCTACTCCCTTTGTCTTTCTCACTTGTGATGATCCCTTAGCAACGGGCCCCAGGGCCACCCCGTCCACAGGCCTCCCTTCCTCTGAACACACAAGCACTGTGCATGCGTTTACATCTGCAGCCAGAAGCCTGAAGTCCCGTTCTTGGTAATTATGGAATTTCACTCTTAAGAACTGTCACTTCACTGTTTTCTGGAACACAGGCCTCATTTATCCTACAGCTTCAGGCCCTCCTGGGCATCCTACTGGCCTCTCAGGGTTTGACAAGCACAGGTCAAGCGAAATTCCTCAGGGGGGATGTCGTGGGAGACTTTCAGGTCAAGCCTGGGGTTGGCCTTCACTTCTCGGGATGCTTTCAGACCTGGCCTCACAGTGGTTCTCTGTCAGACTAAATGTAAGGGTATGATACAGTGGCTCAACTGAGGAGTCCCAGCACCCAGAGAGAATTCACAAAGGCTGTTAATGGACAATGTTGGTAATTACCAAACTATATTTGGTCATTAAGTGCCAACATGAAAATCTTCTGAATAAATGAAATTGACCTTTCTTTGTTGGAATAAACGGTTAGCATTTTTATCTCCCTTACTCTCGAACGTTACAGTAACCTGTGTTACTACAAACAAAAAAGCCCTCACCCTCAGAGAAACAAATCTTAACTTGAAGTAGAAAAAGAACAGGCTTCATCTATAAACATAAATAACCACTAAGTTAAAAAAGGCCAACAGAAGTAAAGCAAAGCAATTCTGAATGATGAAAGTTTACAGGCCCTAGAACGAACATTCTTCTATATAGTAACAGATTAGCTGATTAAATGCTTGCCTGGTCTTAAATCTTTACAAAAGGAAACCCCATATTCCAGGGTGCTGATTCCCACCACCAGCTCAGCTGAGCGGTTCTAAACAGGGTTCCTGGAGCCCTAGCCGCTCACTGGCACACCGCGGACGGAGAAGATGATGTGATTAACTTATATCACTTTACAACTAAAGTAGAAATTACTTATGCCTTCAGTTAGAGTAACATAATAGAAAAGGCTCGAGAAAACTACGACTTCATGAAAATGAAACATTCAATTTTTAAAAACTTCTAATTAAGAAATTTTCAAGTATGGAAGTAGAGGGAACAAGGGGGTTACCTTTCACCTAGACTCAACCATCGTCAACATTTGGCCATTCCCATATTCTATGATTGAGTAGAATAACAACTTAATTTTATGTGACAGGATGAGATTGTAACCTTCAGCGAAAGGTGGTAGACTATTCACATTATTATTAAGATGGTGCTATTTTTCTATTATGGTCGTGTCTAAAAGTTTAAAGATTGCTCTTATAATAATGATACTTCTGGATGTAGTTCCTGGAAAAGTGAACGGCTTCTACTACAACAATAACAACAACTGTATTGGCATCTAATACTTTCTGTGTCACAGAAGCTGGTGAAAGACATCCCTCTTACCCTCACAATAGCATTCCTAGCCATTTTTATTCCTAGCAATTATTATCCTCATTTTACACAGGAGAGAACCGAGGTACAGAGAGGTATGCCTAAGATCAGGGAGCTATTTAGGTCAAGGCTGGGACTTGAACTTTTGAGTCTAATTCTAGCGCTAATACTCTTAACCATTATGCCAATGCACAGAAATAAGAGACTGGATGTTGGTGGGAGGAAATAAAGGAGAGAGCTCTACTGTATAGAAGAGTGGGGTGCCTTGTACAGGTTTATCTCTTTCTCCAAAATACACACCTTTACTAATTCCATGACAAGATACAGCTCAGTTGGTACATCCATCTCTTCGATCAGAAGAACAATATTGGGGTGCTTCACTCTTCTTAAAATAGACACCTCGTTCTGGATCATGTGCTCCTGTTCAAGGCAAAAGTTACCTTAATCAAGATACACATCAAAATACATGAGGAGCGGACTCGAATGAACAAAACTATACTATTTGAAGATCAAGGGAGATGTATTTTGGGTAAAATATATGGAGTTTATCTTAAATTCTGATATTCACATAGCCTAGAATTGCCAAGAGATGTTGAAGGTCCTTAGAAAATGTTTGTAATTTCAGAACCTACCATGTTAAGTATAACTGCATATAGAAGGATGAAATGAAACTCAGATCACAAAAGTAACAGAAGTAAGCAAAGAGGCAAACACAGAGAAAGAACAGAAATAACATCCAATCATTCCAATAACTTTTATTCCAGGAATATTTATAGAATAAAGTTATATCCTAATACGTATATAACATTCTGTTCCACAGCTCCTAGCGTAAATTTATGTTTATTCGGGAGCTCATCTTTGTGTTTCATTCTGCCTCCAAAACACTGTATTTTCATAAGAATAAACCTTATACATACTTTGCCTCGACACTTGCTTTTCTTGATAATTTTCAGAGCATACTCCCTAGCAGTCGACCTGCAAAGAGAAAGTTGTTTTTTTTTAAAAAAAACAAAAACAAAAACAACTTAATTTCAGATCTGTTGCATCATCCTGTTAAGGACTCATTTCTTACCGCATTGATCTTGCATTGTGGTGTAACTGTTTTGTAAAAAATCCTTTTTTCCTTTTTTAAAAGAAATAAGTGAACTTTAAGGGGCTGACCAAGTGTAAGGACAACGGACGTGCTAGCATGGAACATTCACAAGCTGCTAACACTGTCATACTTGTAATAAAACTGCTGCTATTGCTAGTCCCATGCAGAAGTCCCCCTGCAAGGTGGCTGTGCTCTGCCCCTCCCTCTGAAGTGGTGTGGTCAGGATGTGAGTTTCTGCCCGTCTTCTTCCCAGTCTCTCTTGAAGTTCTCTCTCCACGAAGTGAAGTGTAGCTGTGACAGTTTTCGGAATGGCTCTCACGGCCACACTGACAACTCTCAAGACGCAGTTCACATTCTTCAGACTTGGGTTGTTTGCACCCCTGTGTGTTCCACTGGAGAACTAGCGGATGAGGTGCTCAAGGGATATAGAAAGGGATACAGCCATTAACTGAGCATCCCGTGACCTCCTGGGCCTTTCATCGCTGTCTCATTTGATAGAAGTGAAATGGAGGTGACGATGAAAATGAACTCGCTTTGCCAAAGCCTCATGGCAGCACTAAGGTCAGAACTTGGAGCTCTTGGGGTCTGTGCTTCGCATGCAGCCCCGCCAACATTGCCCCTCCTCCGCGGTGGGTGTGGGAAGGAGGGCTTAGTCACACTGCAGCTGTAAACAGCTTCCTCATTTGTGTCACCATTTCCCAGACACTGCAGTGCCAACCACGACAGGTCCACCGTCAAAGGACACAACACATACTTCATAATCGTCAGAAACCACTACTCCACAAGCACTGCCATTTCATATCTGCTGGGGAAACCAAGAGAGTCTAGCTTTTCACCTACAGATAAAGGCCAATTTTAGGGGTCCAAATGAATAAAATGGGAGTGAAGGTGATCAAAAACAAAATTTTTAAATAGGGTTTTAGAATTTTCAGTATGGAGAATTTCCTAGGTGTACATTATGGCAAGAGCAAGAAAGTGATGAGCCTCCAAACAAATCATGAGGCCAGATATTAACAGTGTGTTTCAAGGGCATGTTAGAAACCATTCATGTCATTTACTTCTAAAAATACTTCTTCCGCTATACCTCCAGGACCTTCAGAGTCCTAGCCTGCGGAAAACCGTAAACATTGACCAAGTTGTTATAATTGTGCCTGAGGAATGAAACTAGATTGAAACAATCATTTTGAAGCTGATTTTCTCCACTAGAGAGCGCTGTGGTTCGGATGCGAGGAGGTTAAACCCCTCTGCCTCAGGGCGGCTCCCCTGCCCGGATGCAGGGTACCCAGCGCAACCCGAATTGCCTCAGCCTCGTGAAGAAATGGACTGAGAGCCCCAAGTATGCCTCTGTTGATTCTTCAGGCCCCCGTGTGGGCAGAGAATATGATGGAGGAAGGCTGAGTCAGCCTTGGCTAAATGCAGGGCTTGGGGTGCTGGATGACCCCACATAAACACCAGACCTTCAGCAAGGCTGTGTGTGTACTATGGGATGGGGGTGGAGGAAAAGCACTTCAGTTAGAGGGCCAACAAAATACTTCCCATTAGAAATTTAAAATGTATGCGCAAACAGATAAATGAGAACGTGAAATTACTCATCTACGAGGGGAATCCTCGCATCACAGAAGGAGCACAGGGTCCCTTTTCAGTAACTCTTCTTAAGAGGCTTCTGAAGGGTCTGTTTGCAAATTTGAAAATATTTAATCGAGGAAAACTAAAAGCTGAAGTGTTTCTGGATTCTGCTTTTCGTGAATCACTAAAAATGATGACAAAGCAAATCTAAGACTGGAATACATGAGCAATTTCCTATCTAGTTTAAGATGCTTCATTTGATGGCAGGGAATCTGAACTCTTGGTCTGACAGCTTTGATAAAAGCCAGCAGTCCCAGGCAGGTACAGAGAGCTAGAATGAAGCCGACACTTGGGCTCAGTGCCTCCACAAAGGGGATGGATGTGGGATGGTGCTGGTCAGAAGATCCAGGAATTTCTTGGCTTTGTCCTCTCCATGGCTACCAATTGATCCTCTGTTTCCCTAGAATGAGTAACACTTCAGCCTTGCTACACTCAAAGCAAAGAGCTGGTGTGGGACCCGGGAAGGCTGAAAATCCTCCTCTACAGCCGGATAGACAAGGAACAGAATCCCCAGGGAAGAAGAGGGTGTATTGGCTTCCAGGACACCAAACAATCAGGTTAGATGCTAAGCCTACAGCTGAGGGGAAAATGCAAGCAAACCTGCGTTGCAGTGGCCCTAGAGCTTACTAGGAAAAAGGACCTTGTGGGTTGACTACCCAGAACCTTACAAAATAGGATTAAACACCCAATTAGATTTACCCATATTTTATACCAGACAGTGAGCCCTGAGGAGGACCACCAAAATTAATACTGAAAGGTTTCTTTCTGGATTCCTTGAGGACAGAACTATAAAGTCATAATAAAATCCTTAATTACTAGAAGTGCGTGTTTATAGGAAAGTAGCTGAATCTGGAAAATGAGACTAAAAACAGGTGCTAGGACTAAATGTACACCATAAGAATAAAAACTTCACCGCTTGCTTTAAGTTGGTAAATGAAAACATTTGGCAAGAAATAAAACCTCAAATAAAATATCTGCCTTCCTCCGTACCCTAAACTCTGAGGACCACTGCCCCCAGGTAATCATTCGGCAAGCAGCAATGAGCATGGTTCTTTGGTGGCTACAGAGGTGATGGAGACCTGGTCTTTGACCTCAAGGAGTCTACAGTTCCGTGTGTCGAGAAGGAGAGAAGACACCTGGATTGCTGTGGAACGTCCAGGCCATTTGCTTGTATGCTCCTGAAATTATATTCTTGACCTTTCATGAAATTACAGAAACCTCAAATGCCACAGCCAAAGCGGCAACAGCAGAACAAGCTTTGTTTTCCTCCTTGTCTACAGGAACTCAATTTGTAAAGTCACTTTCCTGTTAAGTTTGACCCAAGGCTAGAGCTCGAACTACTAGGGAGAAATGTCTGAATTTTACAAACTTGGACTAAATCTACTTTTTCAGGTTTGTACTAAAAATGGTTTGGAGAAAGCTGTCTTGTTTAACTGAACGATTCTCAGCCCTGGGGCAGTCTTCTTCTCACCCTTGCCCTCAGCCCTGGAGGGTAGCAGAATGTTTATGCAAAGGGTGCTCTGGACCAACGGGCTTTTGGTTGTTTGCTGCGTTTTGAAGTTTTATCAAGATCATGTGGAAGAGGAAATGTGGCTTCCCAGGCATTCCTCTGACATGGCATTTACTGAATTTCAAGGCAGTCCTTTGCTTACGCGTCAGGTTCTCAAGCAAAGGGGCCCCGTCTTGACTCTCTTTGTAGCCCTGGAGATGGCCCAGCATAGACCTGAACTAGCAGGGGCTCCAAACATGTTGGTGGAGTTGTGAAAACTCCACAGGCTGGTGGCAGTAAGGACAGTGACAGAAAGACCCTCTCCCCCAGGAAAGAGGGGTTGGTAAACAGCACCCTTTGTTTACCAATTAATCATAATAAGGCTAAATCTCAGGGCCTCCCTGGTGGCGCAGTGGTTGAGAGTCCGCCTGCCGACACAGGGGACATGGGTTCGTGCCCCAGTCCGGGAAGATCCCACATGGCGCGGAGCGGCTGGGCCCGTGAGCCATGGCCGCTGAGCCTGCGCGTTCGGAGCCTGTGCTCTGCAACGGGAGAGGCCGCAACAGTGAGAGGCCCGCGTACCGAAAAAAAAAAAAAAAAAAAAAAAGGCTAAATCTCAGCCTCCTCTGTAAAGCAGAAAACTGAGGCATCCCAGTGTCTTGTCAAACATCTTCAGAGTAGAGTTTTATTTTGAATTTGAACTTGGGCCCTATGGCTATCAGGTGCCAGAGCATCTTTAGGAAGGAAAGAGGAAAGAACACTGTCAGGTAGCTGAGAGATACTTAAAGTTCTTCATGCTGATTCCTCCTCCAAATCCCACTTCAGAAGGAAATGCTTTCCAACTATAGGTACCCGGTTCTTGAAAATTCTGAAGATTGTCTAGGTGGATGCAACCCATGTTGCTGACGCTAAAGTCTTAGCTCGTTCAGGTGGGTTTGGGCCTGCCTACCTTCATTGCCAGCGCTTTTGTTGTATAGTTCTTTGGGTTTACAGGTGGAGGAGAGAAAGAGGGAATCACGAGCAGCTAGAATTTTAATCCAGTTCTGATGCCTACGGTGCCAAAACGTGCAAGCAGTGCAGGTGGGGAGGAGGGCCAGGAGCCACCTGCGACACTGTCCCTGCTCATGACCGCATTACCGGTACCCGTGGCTTGAACAGTAATTAGTCCACACAGAGCCAGGAAGCCAGGGATGAAGGGCATCTCATTGTGAGCCCCCTACCCGTGCTCGGATCTCTTCTTAGTGCTTTTCAGCTTCTTGAGTTTTCTTTGGGGCTTCGAAAGGCTCCGCAAGACAGCTTCAAAAGTCCACCAACATCCTTTAGAATGTCCTCGGGGCTCCTGAGGCCACTCGAGACTGCTATGGGGAGATAGGCAGAAATCGAAGCAGACCTGGCATCCCCTACGATGGGATGTGCTGGCACGGGACCAGGGGAGGGACGGCCTCTGCAGCAATGTTACTGCATCCATTATTGCAGGAAAACCTTCCCTGTGACAGCATATTATTAACGGAGGAGAGGCATACTTGCCCTTTTTAATACATATTCCTCCTTTAAAATATGACGGAATGTACCCCCGCAAGCAATGTGTGCCATTCAAAACATTCTTAGCTCCCTTTTATTTTCCTGGACCTCTGGAAAATATTAAAAGATTGTTTCGTGATACCTCTGGGGAGAGAGGGCAGATGCCATATGTCCTTGTTCCGCGGGAGCGGAATACTAACACTTTTGGGGGGCAATCTGGTGTTTAGACTCTGACGATTCGTATGAGACCCAAGATGTGAACTCATGCAAAACGCACACAATGCAAACCAGAAAGAAAGAAATTAATTCAGGATGGAGAAATGATACATTTCTATCATGGGAAGACCAGGACTGTGGGACTGAGATGCTATCGTGATCCGAGGACGAGCACATGGCCACCACTCCAGACTCAACAGATGACACACCCTGGCAAGGAACCAGGCGCCGCGGGGGAAGGGCACGGGGATCTGCTAGACACGGGGTTTTCTGCTGCAGAGGAAATTAAGTTTAAAAGGGCTGGGCTTGCTATCAGTAAAAGTATCAGTGAAATATAAAATTATATAAACGCACACACTCTTCCACCCATTACTCTGGGGGTGGCTTTCCCGACTTAACTTCTATCTTCTTTGTACAGGGACAAATGTGTTGTGTGTGACTTTGGCTCAGCGAAGCCACTTTCTTACGGAAGACCCCTGGTCCGAGGTAGGAGGCACTGGTGCAGAGTGGTCCAAAGGCGTGGGTTTTGGAGCTGAACTTGAATCCCTGCCTTGCTAAGTACTTAACTAGCTGAGTACTTAACTTACTTGGGCATCTAGCTTCTCCGGGCGTTCTTTATATGAGATGGAAACAGTTTGGGATTATATATAATAATCCCATAACTATGGGATTATTATGATAATTAAATGAAGTATCGTAAATTAAGGGCCTTGTATGTAGTTTATGCTCAGTAAACAGTGGCTGCTCCTGTTTGAGGAGGTGTGAGGCCCAGGAAAGTCATGGGAAAATTTCTATATTTCGCAGTCATGCAACAGATGGTCAAACTTCATGGTGGGAGTGGGGGAATGAGGGGGAGGGGAAAAGTGGGGCAGCAGGATTAGCAAAGGGATTTTTCAAGCTGCCTGTCACTCATGCCCGTCCCCGACACAGAGCGGCTGCTCTAGGGGTCGCTGTCACCGTCCTCAGGAATGACTTGGCCCAGCTGCTATGTTGAGTGGGGCAAAGTCTGAGACCCACTGCTCCAGGGGAGCCTAAGGAGGGCTCCACTACCTTAGTCAGGCAAAGGGTGAAGGGTAGCAAATCAGTGGTCACTGGCCAAACTCAGGACCCTCACAGTGTCTGAGGCCCTGGGCAGACGTCCAGCTCTAATGTGGCATGGATCTTCATTTCTAAGTCAACGGACTTGGAGAAAAATAAGTTCTGGGTCTTGCAGACAGAGCCTCTAGTCTGAGACATCCTCTCTGAGTGGAGGTGGAGATTAAAGCATTCTTTCCACACAGTGTTGAGAACTCGGGCAGCGCATAGGGCCCTCTCCCAGGGAGTAGGCGAAAGGGGAGCACAGAAGAGCAGTGGGGAAGGTGCTCACCCCAGACCAGCCCCCAGGGAGCCAGCGGACACACTCCCTGAAGGAACCAGGTGGGTGCCCCCGCCTTTCCAGTACTCTGCTCAGCGGCCCTGAGAGGAAGTTGCTGGCTGACCAGGTCCCCCGTAAGAAACGAACTCCAAATCTCACGCTGGGCTTAGGGTTTGAGGCGGTCTTGATCTGGGCTATGACTATTACTTGTCACTTCTCCAACCAGTAGCCCCAGCTACTGCCCTTGATTAGGTATCAAGGTCCCAGGGATAAACCTTTCACTCCAAGTCCTTCCCTTTGGCCCACAAGAGTGCCTAGTTCATTCATTTTAAAACATTTGAATGTATTAAATGCTGTTTTTGTCAGGATCAGAACAGATACATTTTGAAGTTTTTTGAAGTTACTGTATTTAATTTTATGTAAGTTATATGTTAGAGATATACACCCCATATAAGAATGTTCTGACCTTTACAAAATGTCTCAAAACAGTGCCGAAAAAACTATTCAATAGTTCTTTTTGTTTGTTTGTTTGTTTTAACAAAATAAAAGGACTTACCTGAAAGCTCTGGCAAAATTTTGCTAAGTACATTAAAAAGAAAAATCAAAGTCCTTAATTTATAGATTGTCCCCAGGAATCACTACATTTTTCAAATCTGTTGTTAGATGGGCTTTTCTTTCTTTTAAATATTTTTTACATCTGGAGTTGAGACATTAACCTATTCCATATGTGCCACAGACCGCAAATAAAGACGCTGTCTTGGAAAACATAACGCCAAGTGCTTCCTTTAAAGCTCAATGCAAATGATATCCTTCTCACCTTTCTACACATTCCTTGACAACAGCAAAATTTCCATCTCCTATTGTCCTTCCGACTTTATATCGTTCTGTTATTGTGGCTGGAATCTGGAAGCCTTCCTCCAGCACTTCTGAAAGAATCATTAGTATGTTTTTATTGGTAGAAAAGGGAACACAGATGTTGCACAAAAGAGACGTTTAGAAGTATCATCTAATAGACTGGAACTGATTCAGCGTCAATATGTCATTTTCTGTATACGGAGGCCAGTCCCCGACTCCCACCTCCTTGCCGACATTGCATCATCAACCATTATTACTAAGACGAATGATAAACTAAAAGGAAACGTAAAATGTATGGGGTCCACTGCCACCTAGGTAAATGCAACTTATGCTTTCTGCCGCAGTGGGGATTCTGAGGAGGAAGTTTCACTTTTCATTTCATGCCAATTTGATCAATAGCGTTTACTGCATACCCATGGTGTCCAGAAAAATGACATTCCTAGGTAGGGAGGAAGATTCGGTTCGTAAGGGACTCTGGGCCGCTTGACATTGTACAAGCATGAGAAATGCCTGCTGTTTGGACACTTAGCTTTACTACATCCTGAAATAGAGATCTCCATAAAATTCCTTATGAACTAAGCACTGATTGCTACCCCTCCCCAGTATCAATGAGCAGATTTTAGACAAATTTCTCACCAGATGTTGAGTTAAAACTGCAATATCTATTATGTCTGTGAACAGAACAGTTTTGTAGTTTCAACTATGTTAGTGCCACTAACACAACGCATTTTCCCCCTTAAAATGCATTTTGAAATATTTTACAAATGCCTAATAATGCTTTAAATATCTAAGGCCATAAAACTAAATAAGCCACACTTAGGTCACATAAATATAGTGGATAACCTTTAACATCTTAGGGGTATAAAAAGGCTTTTATAGCTGGGCTCTAAAATTTACATGCTTTAAAGTTATAAATCCTGGCTTTCCCTCAGGCAACCTGAATACAAAATGTGATGGAAGCCTAGTGTGCTTTCTAAATGTGCTCCTTTTCTGACCTTTAATCATAAACTGAGACTAAACATTTCTTCTCAAAATAAAATTAAAACCGTAGGTGGCAAATGGGCTTTCTTGGTGATTTCCGTGTTCTCATTGAGTTTAGTCTGCAGGGTTGGGGAACGGGAAATGGAAACTCACAATCAGCAGATATCTGCTTTAGGGCCCTTACTTATTCTGGTTTTGTGATCATTTCCAGTCTACACCACTCTGGATTCTAGAGTGGAGGAAACTTCTGGAAAGCGTGTACAAATGTAGGACATTTTCTGCTGCTGCTTTTGTCCTCGGCATTTCTGCAACCTCTTCACCTCTTTACAGGTGACATTTTACATTTAACCCACTAGAAGCTATCTCAGTGGTCTCCGGAATAAAGCGAGACCTGGGGACTTACCTCCACTCCCCCCCAACCCCTCGATCTCACCCCAAAGAAGTCACAATTTTGCCTCCGTTTGAAGGATTCAGCCTGGGGATTTTTGTCTAGCCCATGGTTATTACAGAAAACGGTTGGAGAAGTTTCAAATCCACTGCAAAGCACCCGAATTTACAAAATATCTCTCGGATGACGCGGTCTTAAGGCTCTTTACTACACGGATAGTAAAAGTAACCATCCTTAGCTGTCAGCGGCAACCCTGGCTTCAGATGGGAAATGTAGGGAGGCACTTCCATCCTTCCTTCCACTGGGCACCCATCTGCAGCACATGGCTTGGGATTTTTTTCCTGACTATTGAAAAAATGTATCTTTTAGGCTTTTGGATAAGAAGAGTTAGCCAAAAAGGCTCTGTCAAGGACCATTTCATTTCATTAGGTAAATAAAACACATTGGAACAAAAGAGGCTTCTGAATTTCATACTTCTGGAAATACCAAAAAAGTCTGATATTGCATGGCAGTCAAGAAATAATCCTTGGGTAAGTCAGGTATCTCACATAACATAATAAAAGTGTTTCCCCCAAATGGTACTTTACTGGAAAATTAAATCATATTATTTAAAACAAATAAGGGGTGCTGATTCTGTAACAGTGGCTTGATCATATCAGTTTTATACTTTAGTTTCGAAATACTTTCTCATAATTGATTTGAGCCTGATAATAACCCCCAGGGAGGAAATAGGCATATATTACAATCTCCATTTCGTAGAAGAAAAACTGAGATGTGGAGAGCCGAAGAGGCTTATCTAAAACAATCCAGGAGTTAGCAAAAAAGTCTATTCTGGAATCCACATCATCTCACCACTTTCTGAAGGGAATTCACTTAAGGTCCAAAGAATATTTTTGCAATTGCCATCAATTCATTCTTTCTGTAAAGCCAGATTTTCACATGTTGACTTCACTTAAGTTAGAGTGCCTCTGCAGGGCTATCACAGTCAAGCAAAAGAGTCAAGATGTGGGGGCTTCCCTAGTGGCGCAGTGGTTGAGAGTCCGCCTGCCGATGCAGGGGACGCGGGTTCGTGCCGCGGGGCGGCTGGGCTCATGGGCTCATGAGCCATGGCCGCTGAGCCTGCGCGTCCGGAGCCTGTGCTCCTCAATGGGAGAGGCCACAGCAGTGAGAGGCCCGCGTACCGCAAAAAAAAAAAAAAAAAAAAGTAAAGATGTCTTTCTTGTTCCAGAAGTGAACAGAATTTGGAACAACAAAGGCAACAATTACCCCCTTTTATTTGCAAAGTGGGCAATAGCTGGCTTTGTTAGGGTGCTTATACCTTCAGAGGATGGGAAACGACTCCACATTAGGCTAACTCCCTCTTCCCGGCCCCCCGAGAGTAGATACCGTACCTGGTGGGAGCCACGTTCAATCCTACCCCCTGGCTACGAGCCTCTGAAGCTGCTTCAGGCTCATTCTGCTGGAGAAGTGACAGTTTCCTGGTGGGTGTAAATTTAGCCAGCCCATCCTCTGCCCAAGCACAAGCTGAGCCTTCTCCTCAGACACCAAGTCCAAAACTCACCACCTTCTCCAGGTCCGTCGTTCTCGTCCATCGAGCTGCAGACTTTGGTGGATGCCAGTGAAGTGGAGGAGCCGCCATGCTGAGAGCTCTGCGGGGGGAAACAGAAACAGAGAATAAACATCCTCGGTCCCACTACCTGAGTCTCCAGGTGCTGTGCCCAGCCCAGAATCTCGGGAGGTAACCGTACCCACCACCAGGGAGAAATTGGTCTTAACACTCGGAAAGGGAGGCTCTTAGACTATTCATTTGGGACTACCTCTCCCCCCACCCTATTACCCAACAACAGATGGCGTTAACTGAGTCAGGCTCATCACCGTCCTTTGGATGTTCCGTGATTTTTTATTTCTTTTTCTCAACGTTAGCATCCTTTTGCACACTGTTTAGGTTTGGCAGCTTTGAGGTATCTCACCTCACTCTTCCACACCCTCATCTGCAAACAGGCTTCAGATAAGGGGTCATTCTGATCTTTTTTTTTTTTCTATTCTTACCATAGAAAAAAATTTTCTTCAGTTTGTTTTTTATGGAATATCCTTTAAAAAATATTCAGCTTTGCCACATCCTTGGAGAAAGGTTGAAGAGTGGGTTTCTTAATTCCATTTTGAGATAAAGGCATAGCACTAAGCAAGTTATTGATACATTAAATGTTACATAGCAAGAAACATTGACTTATTATTACTTTTATTCCTGAGGCAAAGAGAGAACTGAAAGCCTAAGCCTGTGATTCCTTTGTAAATTTGGGGTGTATTTGGACCCAAGACCCATGAGAGCAAACAGGGTAACAACTATATTACAAAGCTCAGAGGATGAAACAATACCAAATATTTAATACTGTGATCAGCCACGAGGCAGTACTTTAACAATGAATCTTTCCATCCCTCTATCTACTCCTTGAGAAAGCAATTTGCACATTTCAATGCTATTTCTAAACAGTGAACACAGCTTGTCCTAAAAGATCCTCCTTCTGTTTCCTTGGGTTTATCCACTTGGTTGGCCTGATGGGAGCCTGGAGGCGGTGAGGGGCGGCATAGGCTCATGGTGCCGGCTGTCTGTGGAGCAGAGAGAAGGGAGAGAGCGTCTGTAGTTGAATTAATAATGAAGAGGTGGCGAGAAGCAAAGTTGACCTACTTCTGCTCTGCTTACCTGTCTCCCTTCAACCTCCTCCCCATTCCATCCAGCCTTAACTGTGCACAAAGTAAGTAGGAAGAGAAGTTTTACGTACTGTCATTGTGCCCAACAGTATCTTGCCATTACGCCCAACAATATCAGGAAATTCAAAGATTTTAGTCTTCACCCAAAGGATGAATATAATCCGGCAAACGCTACTTCAGTCACTGCAGCGCCATTGGAGTCAACTGCCATAGCACATTCTCCTGGGTGCGCTAAGATGACCACGTTCCATGGGACGAGTTCATCAAAGCTGACAGGTGACACGATGGGAATAAAAGTTAAGTTCATGGCATTGATGCATCTGCTTCCTCACAGGACTTTCTAGAAGTTTTGTGGTTACTCTAGTACACCACATGCCTGAAGGTCACCTAGTCTGTGTGATGTGCCTTTTACTTTCCAGTATTGTAATAATCCCCCAATCCATCAGCCTGGTGACTTGAGCTGTTTCCATCCTTATATCTCATTCAATCTCCCTTTGTGACCAGAAGCACGCATTTGTCCTGTGGCAGGCCAGAAAGGATTCAGATTGCGACCCTGAAACAGAGTTTTTCTTGCTGGGACACTAACTGTGCTGTCATAACCAACTCTGTCGAAGGCACTATAAATGTATGAGCCTCTAAGTGTGCTCTTCTGACTTTTACGGATGTTTGCTTGTGAAAACCTGATATCTATAATATTGGAATACATGGCTGAGACAAGGCAGATTTACGATGTCGAGGTCTGGAGAAAAGAAACATTAACGCTACCGCATTTGAGGGGAAGGTTTGTGTTTTCCAGAACAGGGAGATCTTTTATCCCTTGTGTCATTGCTTGTGCTGTAGACAAATGGTGTTCCAAGCAGAAAAGCAGTAAGGAAATGTCTAAAATGTAGACTTTCTCTTCTGGGCCTTCTGATCCTTGAATTTCTTCCAGCAGCATCACAAATGGTGTTTAATAATGCAGACACACTGTGGTTTGGGATGGCAGGTGCTGTCCTGTCATATGGCGTTTTAGATTTTAGAATACAAAGACACATTCTTTCAGAATCAAGCATTCAAATTAATAGACTAGTAGCGTATTTCCTAGCAAAGATGTCCACGACTTATGGACTCAATTCCAAAATCTTGTTCTTTTAATAAGAACGTCAGATTCTCAATACAGAATTCTGACCCAAATAATATGAAAACATCTTTTAAACTGTAATGTTTAATAAACTTGCTGGATATTATTCATTAAACTGCCTTATCAACTAATGAATTGCATTTTCAACAGTGCCACCAAATGTCTGATGCCCTTCAAGCTGGCCATAGTGCCAGCTGTGTTTTTATCTGCCTTATGAACAAAAAACCCCTCAGGTTTTTTAGGCTCTGGTTAAAAAAAAAAAAAAAAAAAAAGTAGGGTTAACACAAGTCTGCTTATGTTTAAAATTGCTTATTTTCAACTTTAGGTTTGAAAACATACTCCAAGTCATTTCAAATTTCATACTGTCTGAAGGTAACAGACAATTGTAAGAGAAAAACATTTAATTACAAACACGGTACTCTGAAAATGGAAAGTTCTCATTTTATTTACTATGCTCAAATGACGTAAAATAAATGTATTAAATTTCTAACGGTGTTAGCTCTTCTTTTCCCCCAAAGAAGTAAGATAGTTAACATTATACACTTTTCCAAGACAATGACCATTTATGGATTCAACGAATTTCAGGGACTGAAATGGACCTTAAATATTACCTGTTCTACCCTACTTCCACTGAGAGACCAAATGCCCACTACAAAAATCCCAGGCACGTGGTCAAATGGCCTCTGTCCAAACACCTCCAATACTGAACACATTACTTCCTAAGGCAGCCCCCCTAACTGTTAATGAGGCAAAGAAAGTTCTTCCTTAAGTTATGTTCAAATGATGCCCCTCTACATCTCCTATTTGTTGTTCTTAGCTCTCACCTCTGGAGCCACCCAGTACAGTGCATTTCCCAACAGGACAATGTTTCCGATATTTGGAAAGAGATACTTGGCCCCTTCTGTGTCTTCTCTTTTTCAATTTCAATAATCCCAGTTTTCTGGGTTGTCAGTCATCAGACAGGGCCCCGTGACCCCTTGACCCTCCAGTTGTCGATTTCTCTGGTTAACACTAGTGCTCAAAACAAATGCAATATTCTAGGTGTACCCGGACCAGCACAGAGAGAGAGAAGGGTAGAGCTTTCTTCCTTGTGAATAGAGTATTAATGCACTTTAAGATCATATTGGCTTAACAGTAACAACATAACTTTTAAGCCTACACTGAACTCACAGTGTGTTAAGATATCCTTATTCTGTATTTGAGAGGTTGGCGTTTTGGATCAAGTCTAAGACTTCGCATTTACTCATGTTAATGTCATATTTATTACATTCATATCCTTCCAGCCCGTTATTTTTGGATTCTGATTTTGTCACTTAACATTTTTGCTGTCTCTCCCAGTTGAAGTCATTCAGTAATCACCACAGCCCTTTGAGCACCCTGGTAACTACTCCTAAATATACTACCTTAGATGGCGTGGGGACATTTTGATTATTGCCCATAAGTCTGATTGAAGGATTTTGAAAATACTAAAGGGAAAATGTGTAGGTTCTTGTTCTTTAGAATTAACCCAACGAGATGAGTCAGCCTCTATCTATGACCTACAGAAGCTAAAAGGCCCACTTATATTTTTGCATGCTTATAAATGAAATCAATTTACTTATTTGGTTTTTCTGAGAAGATAAACCATTTTATAGGATACATGATGATAAGATTTTGTGTTTGCTTCAGTCAGTATGCGAATTCCAAGGCATAGGGGTGTACAGTGCAAAACATAGTAATTTTAGAACTTAACGCAATTAGCTGCTCTAAGAGATATTCTGACATTTGAAATGTCATTGCTTCCAGGCAGATTTAATGGGAACCAGGTGGACAGGTTGCTGGCACCTGGATGCTTTTATGGCACACCTTCATAAAAGCACTGACCTCAGTAAGAACACATCCTAAGTGTAGCTTTGGATCATGTAACAGATGGAGAACATATCACACTTTTTTGAAGTAAGTGAGAAAGCTGACATAACAGTTCTAACCACATTTTACCAAGATGTATCTGATGACTATGTAGTAAAAAACAGTTCATTTCAAACATAAAATGGTACGAGTTCCTCCCGCCACTTGTATTAATGGCACTCAGCTGGGGTCCACACCGAATAATGACTACAAAAATATCCAATTGATCCAACTGATGTAATTAAGGTAGAAAAACCTCACCAGATAACTTGAGCTTTTTCTGGATAATTACATTGTTTCCACTTCACATTCTGTCTCGGCATGCAGTTATTACTTTGTTAACTTTTTTTTTTGGAAAATGGCAGTAAAAGAATTTAGAAATCAACTGGATCAATTTTATAAAGGAAACACAACCAACAAATATTTAACAAACTCAAATAATTGTTTTGGTGATCCTGACTTGAGGCCTATAGAATGTCTAAAGATGATCTCATATAACAAAATTAAATCATAACCTTTGTGTAGAGAGCTTGAAATCCAAGGGACTCTGTGTATATAGAAAAAAACATATATTCATTTACTTTCCAAGTGGGTAGAGAACAATAAGTTGATGACATCAATCTACAATAACTAATAAGGCTCCATTACTTGAAGCAAGGCACAAAAGTAATTCCTTTTTCCAAATTCCCTTGTCTGCATTCTCCATAGTATGCATAACCTAAAGTTTACAGCACAGCAAACACGTGCATAACTCAGAATGAATACTGAAATGCGTAAGAAGTTATAAACATTTGGTCAGAGTTTTAAAAGGACTGTAGAACTGTCATTCATAAAATAGGTTTACTCAGAGGAAGAGAAAATGAAAATGGGAATACTGAAATCTATGTTAGTGAAACCACGGAGCCAAGATATCAAAGATAAACACGTTTAGTT